ATGTGCATTCACGACGAAGGATTTAAAACCCACTCCTGTGTGACGCGGCCGGGAGGGTCCCGCGCTGCCTCGTGCGGTGCCGGACCGATGCGCTCGACAGGTGGCGCCATTGCCGGGGATAACGGAAGCCTACCGTTGTCCCTGGTGGAACGACATCCGGATATGGGAATGAGAGAGGATTAGGCATGATTGAGTTAATGATGAGCGAGCGGAGTGATATCTTGTGTGGTTGTACGTGTGTGAGGCCTGAACACTAATGGATCTAACTGATAGCCTAGAGGGATTGTGTGATCGAAAGACTCGTGTAGAGGGTCTTAGGACAGAAGCTGACTCTGTTAAAGTAAGCTTGGACAACAGAAGTAGGGTCTGTTGAGATCTAGGGGATGTAGGAAAAAAGTGGGGAGCTTGATAGAAGTATATCAGGGTGGTTTGCTGAGTGAAGCTTTCCATTTCTCTTCTTAACAGGAAGGTTGAGTAAGAGCAAGTCGGCCAAGATGTCAGGAGGTGGGGGCGCCGCCCCGAGAAAGGCTTTGACGCTGGATGATCTTGTCGAGGCCCTGGACAAGCGCGAGAGAGCGTCGAGCAATGTTCCGAAAGTCGACACCTTCCACTTCAAGGGGGAGCGGGTGTCTGACTGGTTGGATTTGACTGAGCAGGCGCTGGTGGGACTGTCGGACGAGGTCAAGTTTCAGCGGATCCTGAAGTACGTCCTTCATAGCTACCATCGGGAGGTGAGCAAGGTTGTGGACCCCGCCAATGGCAGTTGGGCAAGGTTTCGAGACCTGATGATGAGGAAGTATAGGCTCGAAGATGGCCTGCTGACCATGGCTGACTTGGAGACCATGAATAAGGATGATTTTTCCACTATTGGGGCATTCATGCATGAATTCAAGAAGAAGGCGAGGAAGGTGCACGGGATCTCTGAAGAGACGCAGTGTACCATATTTTTGGGTTTGCTTACTGGCACGGAGACCGCATAATTGACGAGTCATGGAGGAGGAAGTGAGAAGCTTACCTGGGAAACTATCGACAAAGGAGTGGAAGAGGGGAGTTTGGACCAGGTGGAGCAGCACCAGATGCGGCCGCAGAGGCGGAAAAGAAAAGAAAGGGACGCCACCGCATCTGGGACCCCAGGGGTAAAGAGGATCGTCACGGATGTGCTGGTTGCGTTGGGGTATGACAATAAGGTAGAAGTGCAGAAAAGAGGGATGACTGAGGCCCGAGGCCGGACGTCAGGGGCAGTAGATGAGGAGACTGGACATGAGGACTACGGCGGAGAGGAGACAGGCTCCCAGGTCCTGACCAAGGACCAGAGGAAGCAACGCAACTTGCTACTGGGAGGTCAGGGATCAGGGAAGGGGCAAGCTCCTCAAGCAATTGTCGCGCTGCCATCTGCTGCCACGACGGCGCCAGCGCCAGTGGGACCATCGCACATGGGGCCGCCGCCAGTTTGTGGGCACTTGATGCCGCATTGCCAGCTTGCGCCCTGGCCCAGTTATAGCCACTGTACTTCGTGTGGAGGGAACCAGGCCCACGCGGGACAGATGGTCCCATATTCGGGCCCGCCGGCAAGTGGGGGCCCACCGAGCTACCCTGCCACTCAAGGTCAGTTTGTGGCCCAGCCGCCACCCTCCCAACAGGCATTGCAAGCTAGCGTGGCCGGGAGAGGGAATCAAGGGCAAGGCGGGCAGGGCAATGGAGGTCGAGGCCAAGGCGGTCGAGGAGGCGGTGGCCGGGGCCGAGGAAGAAATGGTGGGGGTCGCGGAGGTGGTTGGAATGGTCAGTGGGGCCTGGACCAAGGTGGCCAAGGCAGCCAAGAGGGGGGTCAAGGATATGGGAGGCCCCGCTTTGATTGGCGGAGCGCCTCCTGCTGACATTGTGACACTGTAGGCCACACCGTACGGTTCTCTCAACAGCGGCAGGATGATGAATTGTCCAAGTTAATCTGCTCTTGTATGAATGAAGATATATACGATACATAGGGGAAGCATATTGACCCCAAGATCCCGGGAGGGATCAGGCAAGAGGCTCTCAGGCAAGCGGCGGCAGGGCCACCGGCAGCCCCGACAATGTTCAGGATGTGGCAAGAAAGAGAGGATCCGGGTGTGAGGATCGAGGAGATCGAGAGCAAGGAGGTGACCCAGCGATTAAAGGCAGGAACTATAAAGGAAGAACCTATAGTCATTGAGTCGAACGATGAGGGGTTGGAAGTGGTGAGAGAGTCAGCCTCGACCATTTTGGAAAGAATGGAGGATTTGCTTGTGAAGATAGGCAGGTACCAGGAGAGGCTGAGGGAGATGTGTGATGAGGCCCAAGAGTGGGAAGCGAGCCTCCTGGAGGTAATGCTCTATGAGTCTGGCTTGGAATCTTCATTAGGACAACATGGGTATCTAGGCGTGGCGACGGCTGGGTCAGATCCTAGGTCAGGAATGGCCTATAGACCCCCTACGTCACATGGGAGGGTGCCGCAGGCCATACAGACTAGGAGCCAAAGTAAGGCTACCACTAGCCAGGGGCCTAGTCAGACACCTGGACGAGTACCTCCTCGAAGGGAACCCGAACCTGGACGTAGGAAGGAAGTGGTGGAGGTTCAGGAGAGGGAAAAGGAGGATGATGATGAAGAGGATGAGAAGCTCCGGTAGGAAGCGGATTAGCGAGCAGAGCAAAGGGCCAAAAAGAGAGGAGTCCAGGAGGAGGTCGAGCCGAGCTGCCGCGACAGCGTGCCAAAGAGGAAGAAGTACACGGTCCGGATGGAGGAGGGTTTCGACGTGGAACGAATGGTGGACAGGCTTTTGGAAGGTCATAATGACCTTATGAACTTGAAGGATATCCTGGCATCTGCCCCAAAGTTGCGCGATAGTCTGAAGGGTCGACTCTCGCGGACATTGGTGCCCAATGTCCATTTAAGTACAATCCTGCCAAAGGAAATAGAGTGGACAGAGGCAGGTACAAGGATGGATTGAAAGTGTGTGGCGTGCGGGTTGGTGGATCTGAAGGTGAGAGATCAACCAAGCATTGCGATGGTGGATACGGGCGCCGAAATGAACATCATCCGGGAGCGAGACGCGACTATGCTGGGATTGGAGGTTGACCATTCGGACCATGGTGTGTTGCATGGTGTCAATTGTAAGGCAGTTTTCTGCAACACTGCATCCAGTGTGATAGTGGAGATTGGGAAGGTAAGGGCGCGGGCGTGCTTTTTCGTTATGTTCGACGTCGATCACCCCATCCTCCTGGGGAGGTCGTTCCTCTGCAGGACGGAGACTCTAGTCTTCAACAGGCATGACGGAACGATGATCTTGGCCCTGTCTGATCCGGCCTATGGGAACTATGAGATCATCAAGTGCCGGAACAGGGGACCAGGAAGTGGGAGGAATAGGCCAAGTCTCGGCTCCTTTACCTTCGAGGAGTCCGAAAATGAGCGTCGAAGGCTCCGGGAGGGACATGAGGAGGAAGGAACAACCGAGGTACTATCGCTGAGCCTTACCAATGTGAACAAGGCAATGGAGATGGTGGCGGCGCACGATATGGCAGACCCCGAGGCAATAAAGGCGTTAAGGGAGCAGGTCTTGGAAAACTCTCAGGTGGGGGAGGTGGAATTGGTATATCGGCTTCCGGGAGGAAGGGGAGGCCCTGCAATGGCCCAAGCACGAACAACAAGTTGGCCTTTTTTATGGGGGGGCTTAAGCAGGGCTCCCAAAGGTGGTACAAGACCATAGACAGGAAGTGCCGCCCGGTTCCCGTGCTTGTCACAGAGGACGGAGAAGCCTATTACGAGCGGGAGCGAGGGCTGATACGACGCATGCGGGAGCAATCGTTGACCGGGTTGTGCCATATCAACAATGAGAATGAAGGGAAGCTGATAATTGGAGAACCTGACTTCCTTTCACCCAGGAGAGGACCCTGATGGTGGAGACCATGACGAAGAGACATCGCGCGTATGCTTTTGATGACGACGAATGTGGGAGGTTGGATGTGGATAAAATTTCGATGATTCGGATCCATACCGTCCCACACGAGCCATGAAACTTGAGGGGCGTGCGATATCCTAATCCTGATGAGGAGAAGATGGTGGTGGATTATCTAGACGGCAAGATGCGTACGCACGTGGCCGACTACTCCAGTGGGCCGTACCCCTCCCCTTGGTTCCGTTTTATCAAGTCGAATGGGACGCTACAATGGGTGCAGGATTTACAACGATTGAATGCAGTGACTGTGCGGGACGCGAGAGGGATGCCGAATGCTGACGCCTTGTCAGAGTCATGCGCAGGAAGGCCTATAATCTCACTCATAGACCTTTATTCTCGGTATGACCAATATGTATACCCGCCAGATAGGCCGGTGACAGCGATGCATACGCCAAGGGGGTTGATTCATATGAATGTAGCCCCTCAAGGATGGATCAATGCGGTAGCGATGGTACAACGACACATGATCAGAGCCATGCAGACGGTTAGTCCATATATCACCCAACCCTATATTGACGATTTGACGGTCAAAGGTCCGAAGGAGAAGGAGGAAGATGAAGTGGTGCTTGGAGTGAGGCGATTCGTCTGGAGGCATATCCAGGATATTGATTAGGTTTTGAGTTTGCTAGAGGAGCACAACCTGACGGTGAGTGGTCCCAAGTCGAAACATTGTATAAGGGAGACCACAATCCTAGGTTTTGTCTGTAATGAGAGGGGGCGAAGGCCGGATGTAAATAAGACAGACAAGATCATTGAGTGGCATGTGCCCTTCCGCTCAATAACGGACGTAAGGAGTTTCCTTGAGACTTGTGGCTTTTGGAGGAGCTTCGTGAAGGACTTTGCCGCCAAGACGGAGCATTTGAGAAAGTTGGTGCGTCAGGACCAGGAATGGGTCTGGGGTGAAGATCAGGAAGAGGCAGTGGACAAGATGAAGAGAGAGTTTAACGAAGGAGGCTTACTGTTGGGAGCGCCAAACTATGATGCCACAGGGAAAAACCATTCGTTATCGAGACGAACGCTGGGCCAACTGCCTTGGGAGGGGTCCTAATTCAGGCAGACGCTGAGGGGAAGGAGAGGCCGCTAAGGTTTGAAAGTCGTACCCTTAATACAACTGAGAGAAACTACTCTCAGTTTAAGAATGAGACGTTGGCGGTACTCTACTGCCTGAGGACCTTCCGAAACTATGTTTTCGGTAAAAGGCTCGTTTTGAGGGTGATCAGCTAATGGGAGGGATGTATCTGCTCACTAATACGCTCCTGCAAGGAGGCTTGGACCGGAGGGGCTCATTCAGTCATATTGAAAGTGAAATCCTTGTTCCTGAAAGCCAGGACGATGAGTTCGAAGAGGGAGAGATCAAGGAGGCGTTTCGGGCGGACGAGTATGATGGAGTTTACCGGGAGTTGGGGCTACTCCTATCGTGCAAGATAAGAGATAGAGACGCGAGTGCCAAGGCACAGAAGATGAGACACCTCTATGTGGTAAGAGATGGCCATCTGTTTATAAAACGACAAGTCGGGAACCCCAAAAGGATTGTGTGTGGAAGGAACCGGCAGATCGATATTATAGCAGCCCTACACCATGGTATAGCAGGAGGGCACAGGGGGATAGGTGCCACATGCGCGAAGATAAACGAACTTTACCATTGGGATGGGATACTGACTATGCTTATTAAGTATTGCCAGTCTTGTGTATCTTGCCAGGAGAGGTCAGCGCAAAGGCAAGGAGAGGCCCTGCACCCGACGTTGGAGAGGGAAGTGGGTGAGGTCGTACACCTGGACCTGTTGTTCATGCCAGCTGGGGAGAATGGGTGTAATTACATCTTCGATGCACGGGATAACCTTACTGGGTTTGTGGACGGTCGGGCTATCCGGACGAAGACTGACCTAGTTTTGGCAAGTTGCATCGAAGAGTATTACCTGCGCTATCCCTTCGTCAAAGAGTTCGTGATGGATCGAGGGTCAGAGTTCACCTGCAATGAGGTGCGAACCTTGCTTGCAGGGTATGGCGTAGTGGCTAACTATACTACGGCCGCACATCCTCAGGCGAACGCACTTGTGGAGAGGGGGCACAGTACTATCACAAACCTCTTGGCTAAGTGGACGAAGGGTAAGCCGGGTTAGTGGCCGAAGTTTCTGCGAACGGCTTTCTTTGTAGAGAATGTTACAGTAAAGAGGACTACCAAGTACGCGTAAGCCACGCTATGGTATGGGAGGCATGCCACCTTCCCCATAGAAAGTTTTATGAAAACGTGGAGGCGCGAGGACTTGGAGGTTAACTTGTCCTTCGAAGAACTGCTCGATATTCGGGCGCGGCAAGTGGGGGCTGCCGAGGAAAGGTTGCGGGAGGTCGCTGGTCAGGTAGAGAGGAGCCGCATGGAGGACAAGATGAGATGGGACCAGATGGCACGCGTAAGGAAGGACCCACTGAGAGTTGGAGATACGGTATTGTTATATGACTCCTCGCTGGAAAAGCAATGGTCCAGGAAGCTCGATAAATGGTGGTTGGAACCTTATAGGATCGTGCGGTGTGGCGAGTTCGGGCCCTACCAGATCGAGGAGTTGGATGGAGCGGGGTGGCAGGACTGGGTATCAGGGACAAGACTGAAGAAGTTTGTGGCCAGAGAATAGGTAAAGGGCCACGAAACCCTTAGGATAGAGCCTTGCCCAGATATCATACACTTTAGTTTGATCGAATAGATGAATGTCTGAGTTGGATGGGCTTAGAATGTGTGCAGGACTCTTCCTAGGCCGCTAGGCTTGGATGCTGACCTTGTTGTGTGCCTGTTTATTGTCTCTCGCCTGTTGTGCAGGTTTGACTTCTTGAAGGCAACCATGCAGAAGGGCGGGAGGGACGCACGGTCACGGCAGGGGCCACAAAGGGCATCTGGAAGGGGCGAGTAACACAAGCCGCCTGGGAGGGAGCCTATGCCCGAGTTCGACAACGACAATATAAAGCTCTTCTTGGACGTGTATCGGGACCATGTGGTACAGAGAGGATGGTCAGTGGCGGAGATGATTCAGCATTTGAGGGGGATAGGGCGGTTTGAGGGGCCTATCGCTCAGATATGCGAGGAGGCCCTGACCTGGCCAAATGTTGAGGCCGGGATGCAGAGATTGAGAGCTTCACCCATGGGACGTGATGGCATGCCCATTCGGCTAGAGGAGGGGAACGCGGAGGAGTTTATTCCCGCATACGAGCACTATATGCTGAGCCAGGGGATTGCGCAGGAGGGGTGGATGCAAACCCTACTCATCTGGACCAGGAGGGCAGAGAAGCCGGTGGCCAGGCAGATCCGAGATACGGCACGAGATTGGGAGGACTGCTAGGCTCAGCTAAGACAAGCGTTTGGGCGGCGAGGACATGAAAGGTTTGAGCCCAGGGTTGAGAGGCGGAGGCGAAGCAAGAGGCCAAGGGAACCAGTGCCAAGAGGGGCTGGGGTGGCTAGAGAGGGTAGGAGAGCTCCAGCGCGGCGAGAGGATGAGCCCATGGAGCCCGTGCCAGAGGAGGGGCTGTTCCCTGCTTGTGGTCTTAGGCCGGTGGAGTTTCGGCGGATTTACCAGGGCAGGAGCAGGTCGTGCCAGGGGAGACGCCATTCCGGAGTTTGGTGACTCACCTCAACGTGTCTCGATGGGAAGCCTCACAGTTGGGGGAGGGCTCAACTGAGCCAGTGCGATATGTACCAATAGAGGAGCCGTTAGAGCCCGAGGCGGAGACAGACATACGGGGCCGAGGGGAGCCACAAGACCCGGAGGCCGCAGCAGAGCAGCAGGGCCTGGCGCGACCTCAGGCTGAGGAGGTGATCACGGTTGGAGACGATACCCCTCCACGTACCCCAGCCCCAGAGCAGGCGCAGCAGCCTTGGACAGAAAGGATTCCTGAGCCAGACACATAGGATCGACGAATTGTGGGCCAGGTATGAGAACCAGAGAGATGCAGCCCGACAAAGATCGTGAGAGGCAAGACAGGCGGACGAGAGGATGGATGAGTTGAGAGAGGCGGGGGAGTTGGGGTTCTCTGCCACTAGGATGGCGGTCGAACGTGTGGATAGGAGGATACGCGAGGTGGCAGTTACATCCTTCGATCGGTATAGTCTACTCAGTGATGAGCTGGCGGTCAGAAAACTAGAGGTGGAGCACCTGACTACTCAGCTCGCAGAGGAGAGAGCGAGGAGCCTGGCAAGAGAGATTGAGTGGGAGAGAAGATTTGGGGAACTGGCGGCTATTGTGGATAGGCTTTCGGCAGCCGGGGTGGCCGGATAGACCGTGCGGGCTGGCGTTGATGGCCAGGACCGGGGGATGCAGGTTTCGCCTAGTCAGGGAGTGGCAGCAGAGTCCCCTCCACAGAGGAGGCCGACGGAGGGAGTGTTACTGAACTCGGCTGAGGAAGAGGCGACACGGAGGATTGAGGGGGAGGCTGTTGGAGCAGGGGCTTCTATTGAGGTGGCTATGCAACTTGGGACGTCTCCATCATGTGAGGCCTGTACCAAAGGGCTAGTCCAGAGACCCCTGTATCCGTCCGCAGAGGAGAGTGACGCACAAGAGTCACTCATGGCTATGTCCACATAGAGGAGAGCCTCGCGTTTGCATGAGCTGGCGGCTGCCATGGGGATAGGTACACCGCAGGAGAGGCCTCAGACTCTCGACACTTCAAAGTATGCCTCGAGGTTGGGGGAGTTAAGGACGGAGTTGGGCTCCTGGGCCACAGGGTTTGACTTAGGAGGGCACAGTTCGGAGCAGCAGGAGGAGGAGGCTATGAGCGAGCCGGCCGCTGCAATGGCTCCTCGACCGTCAGAGTTGTGTGGGGGTGAGATAGTGGTTGCGGCAGAGAGGCTCAACGAGGAGAGGCTCCGGGAGTCGGACACGCCAGAGTGCGGGCGGGAGAGCGTGGCCGTGCGAGGGGGTCTGAGGCCGTAGAACCCAAATCTCAGGGCCGCATGGGATTACCAATGTGCCATGAGGCGACCCCCGAGACTGTGGGGACACCATCAAGACAGAGCTCCAGGGGAAAGAAGAAGCAGACTGCGAGGTGGTTTGACGCGTCCTGTTTCAGGTGTAAGAAGGAGGGGCATAGAGCCTTGGACTGCCCGGAACTCCTCGAGGACAAGGCCGAAGGACGCGTTGCAGCAGGTTCTACGATAGACAGGGTAGGATAGCAGAGCGAGCTCCTGATGGGGGTAGGGCACAATTATATAGGCAGAACCAGGAGGAGTTGCGTGAGTAGGAACTGGTCTGTCTATATATCAATAGGATTAAAGTTTCTTTACACACAAAGGGCGGGTTAGGGGTGTACATATTTTAATTGGTTGAGTGGGCCCTAGGTGTGTGCATACTTTAGGAATGGCAGGATAAGTTTTATTCGATTGTATATACGCATATGACACTGTTTGACGGATTTTTTTTGAGTTCTTTCGTGGGCCACGGCCCAGGAGATGGGATTTGGCCATGTGATATATGAAACCACTTAGTTTACATGTGGGTTTGTGATTCAAAGATTTATTTGCGTTTTTTAGTGAGTTTGGGGGCTTATAGCACTTGGGATGAGAGTTTTCCCAGCAGAGTGAGACAGGGGCTGGGTATTTCTTGGATTCTAGGTAGATGTTGTGTTCCCGAGTATATTCAGCGAGTGTACAGTGGGGTTGTGAGTCCTGCTCGAACGGACAGGGCTTTAAGTTAAGTGTTTATATTCGAGTTTGAGGGAGACATTCTACTCCCTGAGTATACCATGAGTTGAGACCCTATGAGACTTGCCTTGTGACGATCACTACTACTCTCACATGTGTGGATTTATCCTGATGTGTGCTTGGCTTTGCGTGGGAGGTGTACATGATACATCTCATGTGCATGTTTATGAATATCGTGAACTTGTCTACCCTCCGGTATCCTCGTGCGACCTTCTTACGAGCAAATGCTAGGGCAGAGTATAAGGAGGGGGAGTGCAGCCTGTTGTAAAAGATTATGAGAATCGTACGGGATTTATGAGTCTCTGAGACTTGAGTGCTTTGCCATGCGGCATGATTGTCGTCCGAGCCGAAAAAGGGGCGCAGAAGTTGGTCCCTCAGCCGAATTGTATTATGTTTAAGAACCCCTTCATGATTTTGGAAGGTGGTAATTGTGTTATGATGACCAAGCTTGCTCATTGAAAGACTCATCTTTGAAAGAAGGTGTTCAAAGGTGACGACTGTGAGACTTTTTGTGAGAGACACCTTTACTAAGTTAAAATATCGGTAAAGATTGAGTGGGATGGAAAACCTTGTTTGTGTTGATAAAGTCTGACGGGAGGGAACCATGCTTGCTTGAAATGTTTGAAAAGGTCGCAATGGGTGCAGGGCGAAAGGTGTCTCAGGATGGGCGACAACTGACTCTGATCAAGTCAGGAGCCGCGACCATGTGGACCCGGCGGGGGATTGGTTTGTGGTTGTGCGAAGGATGTCGTGCCTATTATAGGAGGGTTGGTAAAGGCCTTCAGACCCATGCGTAGTCCCGCAGTGAGCCTGTGAATTGTTTGCGACAACCCGTCTGACCACTTGTGCTAATTCTGAGACATATTTGAAGGGAATACCAAGCTAACGGTAAACTTTAGTACCACTTGGGCGCAACCCCTAGTGGATGGTTGCTAGTCGGCACAACGTGGCTGCGGGCCCACGGGGTAAGAGTCTAAGGGGAGTTGCCCGCCCCAGGGAGATTACTCAGTGGGATAGGAGTCGAGTCTTTTTGGAGTCCTGATTGATTGACTATTAGGAAAAATATTTGTCGTTGTATAACCAGCGAGAGAGTACTGCCGCTAAGGTAACGATGCGGTGGGCCGTAGACCTAGTCCGATCAACTAGGCTATGGTGGACCAAGATGGAGACCTAGCGTTTCTGTACTAGACTGCAGAAAAGGTTGAGAGGAGATTTAAGTGCATATGTATATGTATCTTCTGAATTATAAGGATTTTTTGAGAGGTAGGCGAGACTGCCTTCTAAGGTCTCAGTCAAGGCCCGCGTTCCCAGTGCGATCTCTGTTAATAGTGAAAGAGACTAAGTGGGACACCTAACGAGAGGCCGGCGGTTGTCTAGGACAAAAGAGAAGAGGATGGTTTGAGGGCCTTTGGAACTTATGCTGTAGTATCGGTGCGTAATACACCGGTGTCCCACTGTTAGGACAATGGAAACCCAGGTTGAAACCCTGACAGCATATAGTTGTGTTGGCACGGTTTGATGGAGGCCTCAACCCTGAGCCTGTTGGCCAATCGGATTGGTTCTGTTCTCGTCAGCATTTGGAGTGTGAATGGATTTATAGCTTTTTGATTTGGTGAAGCGACCGAGACATCACTTAATATGGTCTGGTAAGTTATCGGGGCGAATACCCTTACAAGGGTATCCGCCCTGGTTTTTGCAAGTGACAGGAAGGCTTGGTTAAATTGGGTTTTTGAGTGTCTGCGCGGAAAAATGCGGGGATCGTCCGCACGCAGGCTAAGGGTTATCTGAGTAGAAAGGGTGAGTGGGCGCGTAGTTTTAAGGCGCACGTGTAATTTTCCCCTTTAGAATTAATCGTGACGCCGACATAATTATTCGGCCCGATTTTGTATGTCGGTTAGACAAAGGATTAAGACGTTTTGGTTTTTGATTACCGCGTTTGGCTGGTGGTAGATTCGGTACGCGGAGTGGCGTAAGTGGTGGCCGCGGCGCAGCCTGTGCAAGACGGCGTGGATACTCGGCGGCCGCGTGCATGGTCGAAGGAGAGGCTTGGGACGTTTTCCCAACCTTTAAACGCCTGGGCGCGCCGTTTTACATTGGATTCCACGCGTCCTAATTCCAAGCTTGGGCTTAGCCCTATAGGGTATGACATTGGGCTTCTGCGACGGAGGTACGAGGTTCGAGACCAGCAGCCGACATCGCGGGAGCAAAGGAGCGCGAAGGAGCCGATGGCGTTGAGGGCCAAAGGGGCTATCCCCCTCGGTTTTTGCTAGCAGAAACAATGACAGGCCCGACCCACGTGGCTGGTGAGGGGGCTAGCAGGTCGTAAGGTTCCCACGGGGCAATCCTCTGCAGTCTTTTCCCTTTGTTTGTCTCGCTCATTGTTGTGGTAGGGATTACCACTGAGGGGCCAGGCTCAGCAGATATAGCCTTTGGGCTGTTGGGCAAATGCGTTGTGCTAAACCGGAAGGGACTGTCGTTTTTCTCCAAAAGGGGGGAATGACGCAGGGAAGGTCCACGTGATGATTGCGAGAGGCATGATATATGCAACGGGAGGGAATATATGCGAATCCGGGAGTGAACTCGGACTCAAACTGGGCCAGGCGTGGGGCGGAGGGTGGCCTCTGGTGGGGTCGCAGGCCACGACCTCACGCGAAATCCTACGAGGGATCGGGCAAGGTGGAACGATATGGGAGAGATTCGCTTAGCCCCTGCGCAAGGCTGGCGCACATCGATCCTAAAATATGGGCCAGATTCGGGAGTTACGGGAAAGACAGTATTGCGGCCGCGCGAACCCCAAGGAGCCGCGGGGCGTTACCCGACCAAAAAGTCCTTCGGGGCATCCGTTAAAAATTGGGAATAGTATAGGGAAGATTAGTGTGGCCTCTGCGCAAGGGATGATAGGCGTAAACAGGGAAAAAAGGGGGGACGCGTCTGCCCGAATCTGGCCTCTAGAGGGAGCCAGGTCCGTGCGCCGCATTGTTGAGGCAGGGTGGTAGCGGAAGTTGCCCGAACTCGGAGGAGTCGAGTCCTTCGGGGCACCTATTAAGACTAGGACGAAACAGAGAAGATTTGTGCGGCACCTGCGCAAGGCTGATCTGCATAAAACGGGCGGACTCTCGTCCTTTCCGATTGTTACCGCGGTCTTTGGACGAGCTAGCCATTGCGCAGATCAGATCGGTGTATGGCGGGCGGGTGTACTGCACTGATTCTCGTTGACGTCAACGAGTGCAGGATGTCGAGGAAGAGTGGGTATGGCGGGAGGAGTAGCTGTCCGACTGTATTTTAGCCGTTTTCAGTAGGCCAGATTGCGGGGTGGGGGTTTTGGCGTAAGGCGAAGTGATTGGCGCGGTCAGATTCGGCAGCGGGTTAGTGGTTAGTAAGCTAGCAGGAAAGAGATTGTGCGGTGGTGTCGTGTAATTCGGGTATGGCGGAAGTGAAGGTG